TCCAACACTCAAAATAGAACACCCCTGATTCACCTTACAATTTTACTCTAGTTCAGTCAATTCTCCATGGTCCCTTTGGTGGAATGAATCTTCCTAATGACTTACGCGTTGGGTAGTAAATGGAAACGAAGGCAATAAAGAGGCCTGAGGATGTTTTATGGTCTGGGCTATTTTAAAATGCATTTCCCTGGAGATAGAAAAATTGGGTCCTACACTGTAACAAAGAGTCTCCCAGAACCTTTCAAGTTCCCCCAAACTATATGTTGGTTACTAAGTCTGGGCTATACAGGTCAATCGTAATTCATCACAGGAAACTGAGAATTTGTTTATTTAAACCCAGTAGAATGGGCCTGCAGGTTTATTTCGCCAGAAGAGTCCTTGCCTAGCATGTGAGAGGCCCTGAGTTTAATCGATAGCATTGCAAAATAAACAAATAAGTAAATAAGTCAAACAGTGTAAGAGAGAGACTACACGAATTTGTTCTGAAAGCAATTCATCATCATTACCAGAAAACTTAAATGAGCATTTAATGCTCTTTGCTTGGAGAGAATTATGCAAATGTGTGAAGCTTAACTTTTGGAAGCTTATACTAATTTGATTACATATGAAATTGACATATAAATAGAAACATAAGATATTGCAGAAGATGGAGATGGGACCAAAGATAATACGCGGATAAGTTATACCTCCATAAATACATCTATCTATGTATCTGTCTGTGAAAAACCCTCATGTCATATACATATATATAAATTTCAAATGTAATATGTTTCTTATATATATAAATTCATTGTAGGGTGGATAATAGGTTAATTATGATTAGACAGAGAAACTGGAAGATACTTATATGGGTGCCAATGCATATTTCCAAATTCCTAAAGAGGATCTGTGCTTGCACTATCTATGATCAAAGCATTCTCAGCAGAACTGAAAACAAATCCTTCCTTTATTAATTAGATCTCTGTCCCGACAGAAGTCCAGTCTTTCAGAGAGGGGGACTTTAGCCCAGGAGTCATCCGGCTGTGCCTGAGGGCTCCTGGGTCCTCCGGCGTCTCACCACAGCACTTACTCAGGCTCTGCTGCTGCCCACGGGACAAACGGGGTCCTCAGCATGTCCACGGCAATCTGAGGAAGGCAAAGAAGGAAACAAAGAAGCTGGCCACCCTACGGGGATCCCATAGGTGGTTCCCAGGTATTAAAATAAGACTGAAACTCAAGGGCACGGTCTCACACGTGCCTCCCTTTTCATTGTGTCACTCTGACACCCAGGCCGAAATGACCTCCACTGTCTTTGGCCACGAACGCAGACTGTCCTGACCGTTCCCCACAGGTCAGCTGAGCTCTCCATTCTCCACTGTCCACTGGGCTCCCCGTCACTCCATAGCATGCATTCCTCACACTGAACAGACCTAGTCCCCCACCAAATTCCGCACGTACTGTGCTGTTCCCACTTTCCTGCCTTCACTTGTTTGGTATGGTTTACCTGGAATATCCTGCTTTTGAGTCAGGCAAAGTCTAACTCGAGTTTCATGTTCTCTGCGAAGCAATATTTTATGTATAACTATTGTACTTAAAGTCAGTACCCTAAATGAGCAGTTATTGCCTTCTTATTGCTATAGTTTGGTCAGTTCTTTTCCCAACGAAATTATAAGCCTGTGAGGCCAGGCATAATCAAATGTATAATCTATACTTTGGCCACCTCCTTTTCAGTACACTGCTGGTCTCATCATACTTAATACCTGATTAGGAATAGTTGGAAATGAGGCACCAATCGGTAATACAACAGGATAATATAGCTCATCATGAAAATGCATATCATGGGTGGCTTTTAGAAGGGTTACCACGCTGCAGGGTGGTACGTCCTCCCCACAACGCAGGTAGACACAAAGTAGGACCAAAGGAACAACCAGCAAAAGCTGCCTAACTCAGTGAAATGGTTTATAGTGCCAGCCTCATCTGCTGATCTCATTAGCCCTGATTATAATCCACTAATTCTATTAGCTTCTTAAACCTATTTCAAGAGAGACTGCATTATACTGAGCAACTATCACCGAGTAATGGAGTTATGCTTTTCCTTCATCGACTTGCATTCTAGCCAGCCAAGCAGAAAAAACATTTGCATTAATGTTTTCAAGGAAGTGTACAGTTTTCACTTTTTCAAACATTGCTTCCTTTGTTAGTTTTGTTGGTCTGTAAAAGCCCCAAATGGACATGTTATTTATCGGATAGTTTTTCAGAGTGATGAGCAGGATAACATAAACGGAGAACATTTTATTTCAAGACATCAAGGAAGAGCCAGCCCTGATTCTTTGGAGTTATTAGCTGGAGGTGACAGAGAAGGAATGGTGAAGGCCATGCTGTAATTGCTGTCGTTATGCTGTTATGCAGAACATTGTTCCTCTGGGCTATTTAAAAATATTTCCATAATCCACAAAGCCACTATTGTAGTACACTTCTGAGTTCTGAAGCAGGTTAACTACAAATTTAACACAAGACTTAGGATGAGATTAAGCAGTAGAAATAAGAAAGGCAAACACACTGTCTATTTATCTACAAGGCGGCAGTGACTGGTGAGAGAGGCTCTAGCCAGATTGAGCCTCTGATCTGCAAACCTGAAGGAAGTGTTAAGGGATAATTTTCAAAACAAGATAAAATCATGACTCATTCATATGGATACAAAATGTAGAAAGTTTTATGTAACTCCTTAATACTAGAACTGGTCAGATGTCCCCAAGAGTTCAAAGGAAAAACCCAAAGAACAGATGCATTGGTAGGTAGAGAGAGAGTCCCTAATGCTGAGGAATAAAACAGACCCAGAAGGGTAAATATCACAGCTTCTCTTAGATGAGAAGTCCAATGTATCAACAATTTAAACAGAAAAATAAAAGACAGATGACAGGAAACAGGGAGATGGGCTTTGTGGAAATGGAAAGGGGATCTGGGGAGGAGGGGAGAGGGAAACAGGGAAGAGAAAAGGATCAGGATATGAGATGTAATTGTACCAATCCTAAACACGAGTGTGTTTATTAAGCATTGCAAACATATACTAGTGATTTTTTTAAAAAGGAACAAAGGGTATGGTGTTAGAAATGATTTTAAGAGAATGTTAAAGGCTCACCTAAAACCCCAGATCTTGTCTGAAGTTTATCTCTAAGATAAAACCTGAATATCAGGGCCAAAGAAGACTTTTCAGCAGATGCAAGTGACCTGAAATGTTCCTTTCCTATCATTTCATTCCTGTCCTCCCCGCTCCTTTAGTTTGCTGATATCCCCATATTCTTCAATCTTGAAAAGAAAGAAAGGAAAGTACTTCCACAGGACAATGGTTAACGTTATCAGTCACCAACTGATAACTCTGGGAGGCTCCAGCATATTAGCCACTCTTAACTGGATGGAAGGGACTAGGTAAACTGCACTCAGACCTAAACTCTCTTTACTGTGCCTCTCTTCCCCCTCAGCTCTCACAAGTTTAGGCTAAGCTATATTGCTTACCTTCGCTGACAGAGCTTATGCATCTCAAGACTAAAAAGACCTCTCAATGTGCTCTCGCATGTTGACTGCATAAGTTCCTCACCATATTCTTCTCAAATGGTGCTGTTTCTAGCCATCTCTCTCCTCAGTTCTCACCTCTTTCCCAGAGTTCCTCTCAAACATAGATTGTTGTCCTCTTATCATCTGCTTTCTTCCAGGTTCCCTCAGAAGACACTTCCTGTACCTACAAAGCCCACTGTGTATCAGGGAAAAGCTCACTTTAATACCATGGGACAGAAAACTAAGGCCTGCCCAAATCTAGTACATTCTAGGTGAATGTTAAATGCTCACATGAAACCCCAGATCTTGTCTGAATTTTATCCATAAGATTAGCCCTGATGTTCAGGGTTTTTAGATGAATTATGAGCTAATGGTTGAAAAGAATGTCAAAATAAGAATATTTAATGATATGTGGAAATGTATGAAATGTCAGTATTAGTGCTCATAAAGTTTTAATGGGACACATTCTTGTTCATTTGTTTATGTTTTGTTAATATGTATTGTGCCAATTAAGAGCTTGTAGATTCATTAACCTCCAAGTGTTGTGAACCAGTGAGAATCAGTTGAGATGAGATGCCAGTCACTACTCCAGAGCCAAATAACTACAAGCTCTGTCATGTTTTAGGATTCTCCACTGGTTTTCTTAATGCGGGGAGGAGGGGGTGTCTTCATCCTTTATCCACTGCCAAATCTGTTAGAGCATATCTAAATGCAAAAAGCAAAGTGGTGTCTGGGATTATATCTAGAATAAGAGACCAGAGAAATAAGCAAACAATAGAACAAACAACAAACACTACCAAAAGCAATGCTAAAATAGCCAGGTAGTCTTTGTAGAGTTTAATAACAATGGCACTAATAACTGTCACTTATTGAGTGCTTTACACACTCACAAATCAGTACCATTGTCATCTTCACTTCACAGGTTAGGAAACTGAGGTTCATAAAAATTCAGTGGCTCTTCTAAGGCCATGTACTTCCTCAGGGGCCCAGTGAAGATATGAATGCAGATCTGCCGAGAGCCTAAGATGTCTCTTTTGATCCCAAAACAATGCTCCTGGAAGAGCACTGCTGTGCACGTACGGACCCTATGGTCCCGATGACTGTCAGGCAACACAGTGATTCCCGTAGTGAACAACTTCAGGTCCAGTTGTTTGTCTTTTTGTTAAGTCCCTTCACCAATGTCTCTACCATAGCCTCTGACTCAAGTTGTTCGACTAAACTTGTACTCAACTAGCACTTTCATAAACAACTCTTCTGACAAGTACATTTCTTAAATGCCCAGTAGAAACCACATTGCTGACTCTATACATTCTATATCATTTCTTTACCATAGCCGTGGCAAGCAAAGAGGGTTATTTTATTTCATTTCTTGGAAGTGAGAGTCAGGATCGACTCCTGGACCTGACACTCTCCCAGCAGATCCTTTTCTTCTCTGCAGCACTGTGTCCTCTTTCCTCCTGTATCTGCAGTGTCCCTGCCACCTGGCTGCTCACAGAAAAGGAACAGATTCTAGAACATCACTTCCCAAGGTGAAGTATATCCATTTCAATCTCTAAATGAGGAAACTGCTGGTGCAGAAAATCACTAAACAAAAAAGCATACCCTTCAAATGCCCTCATGAAAGGACATATTCCCTGGCAGTGGAATGAAGAAGCAAGCAACCATTACAAAAGGGCACCAACACAAAGGAAATGTGCGCACTCCAAAGTTCTGCGCCAGTCTCCCAGATTGGTCAGCCATTGGGTGCAGTGCTGTGCCAACAGCAAGGCTCTGGCAGAGGAAGAGAGATCCCAGGATGCATTGCAGGGTCTCCGGAGTGGCACCAAGAAGAGATTTCACAGTCCACAGCCATGACCTCTGAGTTTCAAAACGCTATGCTTAACCCAGGCCAAAGATACCTTAGCTCCTTCACAAACTCATCCCAGTCTACCCTACCCCAGCATGTGCTCTCAGGTAAAGCTTTGCAAAGTACAAATTCCAGTTTTCCAGGATGCTATGTCATAATGGCAAAAATATTGTAACTTGATGTAAAATGTGTTGTCAATTCCTAAATCTGCCTCTTACTATTTTATAAACCCGACCCAATTCCATAAACGATGTCTACACATTGGTTTTCTTGTAAGAATTTAATGGGATCTGATATATTAAAGGTCATTGTTAAATTGGTAATATTATCTAAGTCTTTGCTGGCATCATTTACTACTTCTGTTTTATAAGTCTTCTCCAGCTTAAATTGACCTTTCGGGTTAGAAAGGAACCAGTTACCAAGGGCTGTGCAGATTCAAACACTCTGAACCCCAATCTCTAGTCCTAGTGCAGTGCTTCATCAGAAAATGGTTTTCACCAACCTAAATGACAGAGATCTCCAACTGCAGGGGCTGTGTTAGGTGACGATGTGATAGGGGTAAGACCTGTTCATAAGAGCGGAGATGTTCCTTTCAGCATGGCTTCCAAGATCATGATTGCATCTTGCACTGGCTCTACAGTGCTGCCAGGGAGTGGAGCTGCCAGTTGTCCACTGCTTACTCTACAGGCCTCTGAGGACTGGGACAGCATGAGTGGTCACTGACAAGAAATCGGAATATTGAGGCTGGTGGATGATTAGCATTTAAATGTGGTAAACCTGAAGATTTTTCATTCAGAAGATGCTGGTTTCACTTCTGGCAAAGATAAGGGATGGACTGTGGCAAAACCAAATGGAAATCTATAGTTCTATGAAAAGATAGACTCAGAAAAGGGAACTGGAAAGTCTTTGCAAATAGGGAAGGGTGAAGGGGTTTAAGGGAGGGCAGGGGCACCAAGGCATATCATGTACAGGTACAAATTCCCAATGATGAATGTCATCATATCGTATACCTAAAATGTACTAAAAAACAATGAAAAGAAAAGAAAACTGGAAACAGCCTAACTATCAGCCTTCTCTCCATTTTCCTCTTCATTGGGCTCTTCGGGCCTTTTCCTTGTTCCTCTCCTCCCTTATCTCACGTTCCATAGTAGAAGAAGGTACCATACACAAGTGACACACATCATCCCAGACGGTCCGAAGTACCTCCGAGAACTTAGGGCCTCTGCATCTCATCTTAGTCGCTGATGTAGTTGAGTGAACCTGAAAAAGCTTATTTTGCCATTTTCTGATCTGAGTTGTCATTGTCATAGGCTTCTCTTTCTCAAAGCTCATGCACATATAATCACACCATACTGGGGCAAAATGGAAGAAATATCAAATTAAAAATTGATTATACTGAGGATGGAGTTAGAATCCTGTGTCCTCCAAACAAATAGGAAAGAGTTGATCAAATCTAATTAACTTTCAGCTCAACAAATGTAATGGAGCTACACAGGCAAGGGCAAGGATGAATGACTTTGAAGGATAAAAGAAAATAGTTTGAATTCAAGAAGCCTCTTTGGTATTTATTTGTTTTCGAGTTTGCAAATTTTGCAAACACTGTGCACATTTTCTGCCAGACACTTCCTCCTCTATTTAAATTCATTGACATGTATACCCAGTAAGCCATCTCACCAAGTTACTTTGTCAAATATTATATAAAAATGTAGAGCAAGAAAGGGCCATAGACGCGATTGGGTCCAATTTCCTTGCTTTACCAGAGAGTAAACTGAGATCCAGAGAAGTAAAAGGAATCACAGAAGCTCAGGCCGGCCACAGCACAGGTGAGCCCGAAAGCTCAGTCTGTGAAGTTCTGACGCGGGACTTCTCGCACATTAAGTCTGCCAGGTAAATCTCGTACAAATAAGTCAATCATTTGCATAGGGATCAGATGTTACATCCCCTGCCCTCTTCAAAGAAGGAGCAGAACGACAGCCTCACAACAGAAAATTGCTGAAAATCTGTGTTCCTAAAATACTGGGAAGCCCTGCAAAATGGTAAACACTCCTTCCTGTCCCAGAAAACTCGTGCTACCCCCCAAAGGATTAATGGGTGCTACTTCATTAAAAAAGAAAAAAACTTGCAAGAGGAAATTTAGGAAGGGTGACCGCAGATGTCCCTGCGTTGCACAGTCGTGATCTCACATGGAAACAGAGTTTCAGGAAGGGCCACTGAGCTCGAGCGGTGACCCCAAGAGCCTGCATAAAACTCACAGCTTGCAATCCGCAGTTGAGCCTTTGAATTTTAAATTTTGTGGCTCAACAATGACATAAAGCAAGTTTGTGTGTTTCCTTCTCTCTTAAAAGCCTAATAAAGCTGTAGAACAGAATTCATTATCGAATCTTGGCTGGAACCTTTGATCTGAGCTCTGATGCCCTAAGAGCTGAACTACCATCAAATGCCCACCCCAGCTGGTAAGCTGCCCTGAATGGAAATCACAGGGTTTGCAACATTGAGAAGACAGCAAAAGTTACGCACAGGCGCACATGCGCATGCACACACACACAGACACTGCATAATGTGTGTGTGTGTGTGTACATACATATACACATATATATACATGCATATATATATATATACATATATGCAAACTCACTCCATTCCCTTTAATAATAAGAATCTTTTACCTTCTGAAGAGCTGCGCAAATCTGAACTACTACTGTAGCCCTGTTAACAGCCAACTCTATGACAAGAGCCTACTCAAAGGAGAGGAAAGTCAATAAAAGTAAAGCGTAAGTGTACTGTTAATGACAGGTTCTTGCAGGCACTTTCCCCCAAATTATACCATTCCTATTCAAATACCATCTCAAGAGTCTCAGACAGTGTCAAGTGCAATCATTGTTATTGCAGTTGCCAAGGTAATCAATTGAAATCATAATGAAGATCTGAAGAGCTGCAGAAATCTGAACTACTACTGTAGCCCTGTTAACAGCCAACTCTATGACAAGAGCCTACTCAAAGGAGAGGAAAGTCAATAAAAGTAAAGCGTAAGTGTACTGTTAATGACAGGTTCTTGCAGGCACTTTCCCCCAAATTATACCATTCCTATTCAAATACCATCTCAAGAGTCTCAGACAGTGTCAAGTGCAATCATTGTTATTGCAGTTGCCAAGGTAATCAATTGAAATCATAATGAAGGGAACAGAAGGAAATCAATAGAGTCTGAAATTACAAATAAAGAGAAGCTATCGTTTAAGAGCATTTGGCTGAAATCTTCCATATTAATGGAGTCAGAAATGGCTGTGTCATTCAGAAGCAGTGTGGTGCATAATTCAGCTGAGTGCATTAGAACACCTAAAGTGATTGCAACAATTAGGGCTGCCTACCAAGAATCTGTCCACCTTAGAAGGCACATTGCAAAGTTGTTTATTATAGTTCCAGCGTGTTTTCACACTTTAAAATTTTCAATCATCTCGCAGAGCATCCTCAGGTAGGAGGCCGGATGAACTTGCTCAGAGGCACTGAGAGCAGTCTCTTGGTCCAGTTTGATTCTGAGATTGGGAGGTTAGAGAAGCTAATCATCCATTTTGCTTAGAAGTACCATCATTTTCAAAAAGTGTCTTAACTTGTGTAGAGTGGTACAAGTACTAGGACAATGAGAGGTAAGTGTGGAAATAGATCCCAGCAATACTGATTGTAGCCCAGTCTTTAATCATATGAGCTGAAACGCTCACTGGGCTCCGTTAGAGTGGTCTGAAATCTTTCAACGTCAATGTTATTTGCAAGGGTGAAATCAGTATTCCAGGACTGCATAACACTCATGGTCAACTAACCCTCAGAAGGGAACAGGAACTAAATGACAATGAAGTTTGAAAAACTATCTAGTTATTTTATTATGGAAAGAGTCCATAAAAAGGAATAAAAAATTATAAAACATGTGGACTGTGTTACATTGGCTTATCTTGGGGATCTGAAAATGACACATTTAGATTGGATCAGAAATGTATGTATTACATTTTTCACTACTCTATGACATGATTTCCATATTGAATTTCACTGCTTCACAGGCCTTGACTTGCAGGCTGTCTGTGTGGGAAATCCTGAACCTTTGATCTCAATCTACAGATGCAGGTATACCCCAAACCTTCCATGTGTTTGGCATTGATTTTATGAGTAGCACTATAGGCACAGAATTTATACATATTTAACTATGCCATTTGGTCAAGAATAGAAAAAGAAAGTTGGGGATTTAGCTCAGTGTTGCTACACCTTCCTCACAGATGTAAGGTCCTAAATTCAAACTCCGGTACCGGGGGAAAGAAAAAAGAAAGATAGGAAAAGAAATGTAGAAGACTATAACAATCAACCCAGTGTGAGTTCTGCTTGCCTTTCCTTTCAGCAATCCAATGCCCCAAACCAAGCATGAAATGAAAGGGTAAGGGGTGTTCTCCTTTCAGGAGTCTTCGTTTCCACATGCCTCTCAGAGTATGAACATCTTAAGTCTAGTGTTTAAAGCTACTTACATATTTGTGTTCTTACCTTAAAAGATCCATGTTAGGGCCTGGGATTTAGCTCAGAGGCACTGTGCCTGCCTCGCAAGCGCAAGGTCGTGAGTTTGATCCCCAGTACCAAAAAAGCAAAACAAACAAAAAAATCAGTTTTACTAACGTGACCTATACAAGCACATGGACTCCAACACCTGGTGCTTAGCAAGAGAATTATCATCCACACCAACCCTGAAGACTCAACTTAATGCCATATGGAACTCACTAAGAGAAGTTGGGTGCTTTTCTACCATGGCAACTTCTATCATGCTTCCAAAGTTATTTTAGCTATATGTAGTATTGGTTGATTTTAGAACTAAAACCTCATCTGTGATATAAATTTTTCCATGTGTGAATTTCCTTCCAGGCCTTGGGACTCATTCAATTCCTAGAAATGAAAACATGTTTCCAGAATCTACAGATAATCACTGTTAACATCTCCTGAAAGTTTGCTAGAAATAAAGAATCCCAGGACCTATCCCAGGTCAAATGTGCCAGAATCTGCATTTTAATAAAAAGCCCAGTTGGTTTAATGGGTGTGATCACTTATAATATATGTGCCGGAGTTCTCAGGAGAGAGAAATGCATGGTGTAAAAATGTATGGCGTAATAGACCTTCTCAGAAACTTATCTATTAACTAGGAAGAAAGGAAAAGAAAAAAAAAAGCAGATGCCCATTTGTGCACAAATAATGGTCCGCAGAGCTCTG